AGCAGAGCCTTCCCTTGCTCCGCAGCTCCAAGGGTTGGCCACATTCCCCACATAAACCCCAAGAAGGGACAAGATGTTATGATAGTGAGGAAGCCTCTGATTCCCCAGACCCCTCTGCCTCTCTTTCCTCCAAAAGCAGTGGCTGCCCAGAACAGACCAATCAAAGAAGAGTTCAGCCTCAAACGAATGTCCATGCATGGTGACTGACAGCCTGTGGGCCTCAGGGGCAATCGGCTTCAGATTGACTGAGCAGAGGACCTTAATTAGCAGATGTGTTTCCCACTAACTAGGTTACAGAACCTGACACTGTCGAGGCTGCAGTGTGGATGTATTAAGAACTAGCTGGTGGGTCCCTAATATTTCTGTGTTGTGGACACCAATCTTTTCCATTTGGGCCCCTCTGCAACATTGCACTGTGGTGATATACATTTTCAAAGCCATACCCTCTTTCTAGAAGGAAGCTGCATCTAAAGAGTTACATGTCCTGTAGAAACATGACAATCTGCCTTCATAGAGAACAGGCTGGAGTATTTATTATAACATAGTTGAACTTCAACTCTTTCATTCCCTCAACCCAGTTTCCATCATTATCCAAAGGCATACCCAAATAAATAACTTTCATGTAAATTTCTTAATGAACATCTATTTCTTTGAGAGCCTCACCCATGATCCACTTCCTTCATATTCTCAAAAAATGATTTTTTTCAATCATAAAAGAATCTAAATGGCATTTAAACCAAAATCAATCAAAAACTCAATTAAGAGAGAAAACTTAAGCAGATTACGTTGTTTTGGCATTAAAGTAGGGAACTGAGGGTTTTTTGTTTTTGTTTTGTTTGGTTTTTTTTGCATAGAGTTAGTTTATGTAATTGTTTCTCTACTGAAATGATTTCTTCTTAAAAGTTATTATGGCTGTATTTGAGTTTTGCTGATTAAAAACTATAGAGTTGACTAGAATTAAATAGTTAAACTATAAGTTACCATCTCATAATGCATTTTTATACTTTAATTATTTTAAATAAACATTTCTATGTTGTATCTACTGTAAAAAAAAAAAAAAAAAGAACTAGCTGGTGGACTGGAGAGATGGCTCACTAGTTAAGAGCACTGGCTGCTCTTCTGGAGGACACAGGTTCGAGTCCAAGCACCCACATGATGGCTCACAACTGTCTGTAACTTCACTTCCAGAAGATCTTATGCCCTCTTTTGGTCTCCTAGAGCACTGCTTGCATGTAGTTCATAGACATAAATGCAGGTAAAGTACTCATATACATAAAACAATAAAATAGTTTTAATTTTGATATTTAAAAAATAGATGGTAAGAGGATGGACAGGAATAGAAGATCAACCCTAGGGATGTCCTCAGCATGTTCTCTGCCACAGAGGCTTGTACGCATCAGTATACTGGCGAGTGGCACAGGCCAGGGGAGTGGCAGTTGTGTTGACCCTCCTGCCCCCGTTCCTGCACTCACCCGGTGCCCAAGCTGCAAGTCCCTGGGAACAAGAAGCTTTCTCTAAGGGCAAGGTCACCCAAGCCCTGGGGGTCTGGAGTGAGCACTAGTGTATTTAATTTAAACTCCAGGAAGAAATAGAGCTGGAGAGAAATTATAGAGTGCTCATCCTTCAACGGTTCAGAATTTCAAGATCAGAGAGAGATTAGTGTAATGTGCTTCCTTGACATGAAGTACACAGGAGCCATTTGGACAGTGGGAGTTACAGCAGAACAACAGCGTGGTTTCAGAAGGCATTGGGTCATATTTAAAGAGACTTACCTGCTGCTCGGGTTCTATAACCACCATGACAGCACACATAGACAGAGATAAAGACAAAGCATGCCAGGGCTAGAGTCTGCAAAAACTGACAGCTGGACCCCATGTCCAGCCAAAAGAACTTGTAAGAAGGGAGTCTTCACTGTCCAGGCCTCCCAGCCATGCTCTAGATCTTTCCCTGAAACACAGATGTAGCAACATATGGCATCGACTCTTGAGCTTAGCTCCTAGAGCCCCAGACCTGGCAATGCTGCTGATATCTAGCTAAGAGGCTGCCTGTGTGGAGATGCACACATGTCCAAAGCAGACAGAGCAGACAGTAGCCCAAGACACAATGTGGCTGAAACTATACTCATGGTAGAATGTGGCCACCATCAGGGCCTAGGTCCATGGTACATTTGATGAGGCCAGGCCTACAGAAGGGCTTGGTCTGGGAGTCCCTAAGAAGGCAAGGCTTGAAGCAGTCCTCTAGTGGGAGTCTAGGGAGAGAAAGCCCAAGTAGAGTCAGAGAACTGGGCAAGGAAGCAAAGTCTGTGCCTATAGTGAGTGGTTCACACAGAATGGAATGCTCAGATCAGAAGCCGCATGCAGAAGGCTTGGCAGCTGGACAGAGGCAAAGATCTTCCTGGAGGGCTAGGTGGGACCAGTAGCATTGCTGAGAGGGAGGCAGATGGATGATAGAGTTAGGGGAGAGGACAAAGGTGGGAGACAGGCAGCTCCAAGTCAGGGTGGCATGTGGAAGATTGTTAAAGGGATTTCTTGCCCCCAGCCTCCAGCACCAGCACAGCCAGCTGGCCTATGTGGGCTTCTGCTACGGTCAGAGAAGGCTGTGAGCCTTGTTTTCAGGGCTTGATGCCTTGGCCTCCGCTGTAGCCAGCATAGTGAATGGCTCTATCCTTGGTTTGCTCTTCTGTAGACCCTGATGACCTAGAAAGGAAGGCTGAGCTTCCCTCTGCCCTCTGCAAAGATACAGAAGATATGGTCTTCTGTCACCAGGCAGGTCTGCCACCATCAGTGCTTCCAACCTAGAAGTAGGGTATGGTTGATGATCCCCAGGGAAGGGGCTTCCAGGGAGGGTAGTCACACCACACCCCCCAGGGAGGGGGATGGTGACTCAAGAATAAGAGAGATTACAGCCCTAGGGAAAGCTGGCCTCCAGGCAGAAGAGCATAGGGTTCCTACAGAAGCAATGAACACCTCACACTTTAGCATGGGGTAACAGAGGAGGGCTGCCCTCCCCACAGGGAATCATGCTGTCTCAAGCACTTGACAGTGAACAAGTCCTTGTAAGATTCCAAGTGAAAGGGAGGGGCCTCCAAAATCCCAGGCTTGCTTCAGTCTGCCAACCATCCAGATGACTTAGGCACCAAATTTGATTGGGGCTTGGTGGCATCCCTCTGTAATAATTGTACTCCAAAGATGGAGAGGTTTTGAGTTCGGGACCCACTCTCAATAAACAAGAACCAAGTTTAACTTAGAGAAACAAAGAACCATGGCATGGCCTGTGTGTTAGAACCCTCATTGTTTCTATGTGTAGACGGCACAGAAAAACTGTAATTTGTTCAGAGACCATTTACACTGCTCCAAGTTTCTGAAACCTTCTTTAGGACCCATTGTCTTAGTTTAACTGTCAACTTGTCACATCCTAGAACTATCTGAGAAAGGAGTCTCAATTGAGGGGTTACCCATACTAATTGGCTTGTGCAATGTCTGGGGGAGATTGTCTTGGTTGTTAATTGATATAGGAGGGCTCAGACCATTATGGGTGATACCAACCCCCTGGGCAGGCAATTCTGGGCTGTGTAAGAAAGCTAGCTAAAGGTGGACCTGGGAGTGAGTCCTCAAACAATGAAACCACAAAGGAATTAATGCTTCAGGTTCCTGCTTGGCCCCTGCCATGACTTCCCTCAGTGATGGGCTATAACCTGTAAGATTAAATAAATCTTTCCTCCCTAAGTTGCTTTTGATGAGAGTGTGTTATTGTGGCAACAGAACAAAACAATAACAGTCCTGTAGATGGATACAGGGACCAGACAAACAGGAAGTCACATCTGTCTATCCCCAGGAGCAGACAGACTCTCCTGAGTCCAGAGTCATCATCCTGGCCAAGATGGCAGGGTCAGGCAATAAAAGGCACCACACTGTCCTTGCATTGAGCTCTCTGGACCATTCATAAAGAGTCTGTGATGTCCTCATGAAAGGACTTGTCAAAAAGACAACGGAAGGGAGTTCCCTAAGAGGAAAGAAAGGAGAAGGGGGTCACACAGAGCTGTGGGGGGAGCTTGGGAGGGACCTCTAATGCAAGGATGAAGGTTGGGGGGTTGGCCTGTGGCGTCCCAGTAGGACCCAATCACAATGTCAAGGATTTGGTTCCTGGAACTAGGTCAGGGTGGCAGGAAGAGGCTCAACTCTGAGGCAACCATGCATGAGCCACCTCAGGCCCAGAGCTGTGCACCTCTCCCAAGATGCTGAAATGGGAAAGCCAGCTTTCTTGTTCTAGGCACTTCTTTTCAAAGCCCTGCTCCCACCCCACTTTCAAGATGGAAGCTACTTCTCCTGAAGCCTGCTTTCAAACTTGGATGGTCAGTACCTATTGTAGTTAGGGTTTCTATTGCTGTGAAGAGACAGTGTGACCACAGCAACTCTTAAAGGAAACGTTTAATTGGGGGCTGGCTTGTAGTTCAGAAGTTTAGTACATTGTCATCACGGCTGGAAGGATGGAGGCATGTGTGCAGACACGGTGCTTAACAGATAAGCAGCCAGAAGAGAGAGTAACACAGGGCCTAGCAAGAACATCCAAAACTTTAAAGCACACCCCCATAGTGATGCACTTCCTCCAACAAAGCCACACCTCCTAATAGTGTCACTCCTTATGAGCCTCTGGTGGCTCTCCTCCCCCACCCCCACTCCCACCCCCTGAGGGTCGGTACAGCTCCCAGAGCACAGATACTGCATGGGTGGGTGGCTCCTGTCCATCTCTTGATTCACCTTCCACCTAGATAATCCCCCCACCTCCTCATTGCCACCCCTTTTGGGGGCCTATCTGCTTAGACTGAGCACCCATCCCTAGCCCTGCTCCACACTGGCCACTGAGAAAGTCAGCCTGAGCATCAGACTCGTGCTAGCCCTGAGTCTTATTATCACAGCCTTCAAGGGCAGGGCCATCCAACAGTAATCTGCTTTAGAGGTTTCTGTCAAAACAAGGAGAATGAAATTACCTTCCTAGTGGGCAGTATTAGATCGGCATCAGACAAACAGAAAACACCATTGGCCTCTAAACGAATGCTTTCAATCCACAGCTGGCTAGACCTAAATAAATAACAAGGGCATTAATAGGAAACACAGCTACTTGCCTTAAAGACTAGAATCTCAAACCCCTATAAAACTGCTGATGCTGTTTCCGCCTTTAACAAGAGAGTAAGAAGTTTAAACTAAATTGTATTTTCAATATGTTAATTAAACCAATAAACAGTAACTATATTTGAGTTTCCTGATCTAATAATAAAAAGATGTGTTTGGCTGACTGTTTAAAGTTCTTGATGGAATATTTTATATGCTATATTTGCATAATGAATAAATGCAAGACTAACATTTTGGGTTTCAGCGAACTGCTCAGATGGAGGAATCCGCACAGGGGCAAGCACCCTCCCCTGCAATTAACTTCTGTTGTTTAGAAAACCAAAGCCATAAAAGTCCATTTAATCAAACTTCCTTCCATGTGCCTTCTTTAAAATTACACTTAGACATCCATATACTGAGAGCCTCGCTCCAACTGTACGTCTGAGATCTTCTGACTGATTTCTGTAGGAAAATCACACAGTGAGAAGACAATTATCACAAATGAATCTGAAACTCACAGAAACATATCAGAGGCCATTAGGTTTGATAAACGAGCCTTACTTTTGACAAATCTGCCACTTGGAAACGTGGACCGGGGCTGGCTCATGCTCCACAGGGCCCATGAACTGACTGGAAATGAAGAGTACCAACCACGATACAGCCATCCTGTGTCATGTCTTCCGTGACTGGGGCTAATCACACTTAAACACTGCATGCCATAAAACTGATTTCTCTCTCTAGAGCTGGGCAGAAATGGGGTTCCACCACTTCGCAGAGGTTCATCTACGTATGGGGGCTGCAGACAGCAGCAAGATTTCTTCTCCTTCAGTTGAGGAAGACTGACTGGCTTCCCTATCAGGAAGGTGAAGATAGCTGACTGGCTGAACCCTCCCCATCCACACGTAATAAAAAGATAGGTCTGACTGGACTTTTAAAGTGCTTGACTCCCCTGAGGACAGGTCTGTTGTGGAATATTATTTTAACTGAGCAAAGATGTGTTACATTTGCTTATGCTGGAGAATACTACTTTAACTGTGTAAAAGTGTGTTCCTTTTGTTTATGCTACATTTGTTTAACAACGTAAGGATGCGTATTTAATTATGTAAAGATGTGATGCATCTGTTTCCTCTTGCCTGCCTAAGGCACCTGATTGGTCTAATAGAAAGCAAGATAGGCAGGAGAGGGGTAGGCGGGGCTGTCAGACAGAGAGAACAAATAAGCAGACACCTAGGCTCAAGAGAAGGAGGACTAAGAGAAGGAGGAGAGAACAAGGGACACATCCCAGGCAAGAAGCTGGGCAGATGCCAGGCAGCCAGACATAGAGAAGCAGTGACAGTAAGATATACAGAAGTAAGAACGCTAATAAGCCCTGAGGCAAAAGGTAGATAAAGAGAAACAGTTAATTTAAACTAAAAGAGCCTAAGCTAGGCCCAGCATTCAAAACTAACACCAAGTCTCCATGTCATGTCATGATTCGGGAGCTGTTCGGAGGCACAAAAGAAGAAATCTGGTACACAGCTGTTCGCACAGCCCGGGGATCTTCTTTCCAGGTTCCTGCGTTCACGCTGCCTCCTCCCAATCCCATGTCGGGGCTCCCAGAAGCCGGCTTTCTGGCAGAGCTGGCTAAGCCGGACTTGGCGGCACTTTACCTGGAGGCACCATCCATTCCAGACTTCACTGGGAACTAGACCCACTCCTCAAAGGGAGACTTTAAACTATATTTGAAGAAGAAAGTATAGGAGGGTCCTGGGCCACTGCGTGGGGATGTGGGTTGCCTGAAAGCTCTAGGCTCTGCTGACAGCAAACTGTCCCCCCCAAGCTCCACTGTGTGTCCCTCAGCTGCCACCTCACATCCACCTCTTCAAGTGCCCCAGGCCCTCCATGAGTGTGGGGGCTCAGCTGTGTCCCACCTAGGTTCATAAGACCTGGTGCTCTGTATCCTAGACTGTGACTGCATCTGAAGACAGAGCTATACAGACGTGGTTCACGTCTAGGGAGATCATCGTGCATGGCCCTGATCCTGTGTCCCACCTAGGTTCATAAGACCTGGTGCTCTGTATCCTAGACTGTGACTGCATCTGAAGACAGAGCTATACAGACGTGGTTCACGTCTAGGGAGATCATCGTGCATGGCCCTGATCCTGTGTCCCACCTAGGTTCATAAGACCTGGTGCTCTGTATCCTAGACTGTGACTGCATCTGAAGACAGAGCTATACAGACGTGGTTCACGTCTAGGGAGATCATCGTGCATGACCCTGATCTGGGTGACTCCTGTCCTTATGACATGAAGCTATTAGCACACAGTCACACACAGACAAGTAGATAAGGATACGGGGAGAAGCCCTTCTGCAAATCACAGGGAAGGGCTTCACCAGAAACCTACCCCACCAGAACCTTGTCTTGGGTATCTGTCTCCAGAACAGTAAGAAAAGAAGCTTGCATTGTTCAAGTCACCCGATTAGCCATGGCAGTCCAGGCCCCTAACACAGCAAGTCACACTAAGCTCCCGGTAACCTTCAGACATAGAGAACAGACAGTTCCCTTTGCCAGGATCTTGGAACCAGTCCTCCACTCCCCACAACACCCATTAAAAGCCGTTTTCCTGTGTATTGAGGGGGATCTGTGAGTGATGGAGGATGGGTGGAGGTAGCCAGTATCCTCCAGGCAGAGAACTTATTCCAGATGGGCAAGAAGGAGGCCAAAAAGCATCAATGCTACTGGGTTGGAGGTAGACACAGCAGTATAGACCCATGTTTGGTCTGTTGCTGTGCTAGACAGACCTAAAGAGGACAGATGGGCAGCAGCAGCTTGATGATTCTAAAGCCAGAAAAAAAGTAAAATGAAAGTACCAAGAAGTAACACTGTGCAAAAAAAAAAACAGGATAAAGCAGAGGACCAAGGAAGCCAGTCATCTGAAAACACTTCCAACTGCTAATACTGGAAGGACCCAAATGGCACAAGGCCCTAGATGACAACACGAAATATGAACTAAATATGCATAATCCCCTAATGATACTGATGAGTGCATGAGTAAGTGAATAATAGAAAAGAAGACAGCATTTATTTTAAATCATTCAATGTTGCAGGTGGCATTTTCATCTCTCCTCACTGGATGAAGCCAAACTCAGCCACTTGCTTCCTGGACAGGAAGGAAAGAGACCTGAGCCAGGACACCTGATCAAGAGAGTCTTAAACAAGCCTGCAGAACAACACTGGTGAGTCAGGTCCCCAGACAGGGTGTGGTGGACACTTCCCTCTGTAGTCTTCTTCTGAAGGTTCATCATGCCATCGTAACAAGAAGCTGAACAAGATTCTACAAGCACATGACAAGCAATGAGAGGCCAGTGAAACCAAGGAAAACAGCTCTAAGACAAAGAATCTGAGAAATCATGATACATCAGAAGAGACCAAGGACACCGAGCAATGTCATGCACTAGACTGAATCCTGGTGGAGCAGCTGGTGGTGTGCAGATAAAGTCTGGAGTGCAGGTAGCAGTGCACATGCACAAACACAGAAAGGTAGATGCGAACTCAGAGGAACTTAGCAAGGAGTACCCAGAGATCCCCATACCATCTTAGCCACTTTCCTCTGAGTACAAAACTACTCTAAAGTGGGAAGGTTAAAAAAAAAAAGACAATTCTCAGATGCCTTGGATGGCTCCACAGCAGCTCGGTTGAGATCTGTCACTTTCTCTAAGGACCACTGAGACAGATGCCAGCTCCCATACCACCCTCCATGCCCTACACATTCCATGCTCTCCACTCTCCAGGCCATCCACCCTCCAGACTCTCCACCCTCCATGTCTTCCACCGTTCATGCCCTCCACCCTTCAGACTCTCCACCTTCCATGTCCTCCACCATTCATGCCCTCCACCATTCAAGCCTTCCACCATTCATGCCCTCCCATACTCCAGGCCCTCCACCCTCCATGTCCTCCACCCTTCAGACCCTCCACCCTCCATGTCCTCCACCATTCATGCTCTCTACCCTCCATGTCCTCCACCCTCCATGCCCTCCACCGTTCATGTCCTCCACCCTGCAGGTGGTGCTCAATGAGCATCACTGCTTAACTCACCTTTCATTAAACAGTCAGGCAGGAGGACTGGTTGGGTTTTAATTCAAATTGTGCCAACTGGAGCAAGTGGCGGGCTCTGACAGCTCACAGTAGTTCCCCATCCCATCATCTGGATCTTTGTAAGCATCCAGCCAAGGTGCTGATCCCCAGGGAGACTGAACAGCTGTCTCATGATGCCTCAGTGCCTTGTTTAAGCACAATGAGAACTTGGTAATTTTGCAGTCGCTTGGGATGTGAGACCCAGGGGATAGGTAGAGTCAGAACAAAATAGAGACAACTATATAATGGGAGTCTAGTGTATTTTAGTGCCATAAAAGACAAGAAGCGCACCTTAACTATTGACAAAATGTGTGAGTTGAAGTTAGTCACTCACTGAGCATTGGTTTCCTTGGCTGTGAAGTAAGGATATGGGCTCTGAGGAAGCAGACAAACTGCTCAGTTTAGAGACTGGCCAGGGACAATCCTGCTAGGGCCAACTATGCCAGCAAATGTGTCCAGACACTTGTGCTATGGTGTGTCATTTGCTTTTCTCACTGCTGTGACATGATGCCTAACAAAGCCACTTAAGGAAGAGAGGGCTTCCTTTGGTTCACAGTTTGAGGGTGTGGCCCAGCACGGCTGGGAAAGCATGGTGGCTGACGTGTAAGGCGGTGATCCTATTGTACTGACAGTCAGGAAGCAGAGCGAGGAACACCTGTGCACCTGTGCCACTTTCTCCTTTATTCAGTCCATGACCTCAGAGCACAGAATGGTACAACCCACATTTAGGGTGGACCTTCCCCCCTCATTTAAGCCCACCAAGAAAATTCCTCATAGGCATGCCTGGAGAGTTGTCTCCTGGGTCATTCTAGATCCTATCAAGTTGAGCTCATTATTAACCATGGCATACAATTTAAGCAATAGGCTTGAGCAAACCACTTACACATCAGGCAAAGTCACACAGCCCGCCCTGAGCTTGACTGGGTAAGCCCTGCCCTGGGTCCATTTCAGGTGAGCACTCTACAGAAGTGGTAGGGACATCTGTATGACTGTATCTTCGGGTGGCCCGAGTCTGACTAGTGGCAGCAAAGCAGAATCCATGGGAGATACAGACCTCACCTCAGGAGATTGGGATCCCCCAGGACCAGCCATCACTATCAAAAAGCAATGGAGGACCAGTGACCAAGAGGAAGGATGAGGTTTGTGGTCTAAGGAAATGTAGAAGTAAGGAGAGACTACCAGGGAACACACCCAGTAAGAGGCAACAAGGGAAAAGTCTCCTCTAATTCTCACTCCCTCCCCTGCTCACTCTCACCCTGCCCTAAATGCTACTGACGCCTTATTGGACAAGAGACCGACACTAGCCATGAAGGGGCACAGCCGTGTTATATGTGCTGCTTTGAATGGAAATGTCCCCATAGACCACTAGGAAGTGGCACTGTTAGGAGATGTGGCCTTGTTGGAGGAAGTGTGTCACTGAGTGTGGATATTTCAGAAGCTCAAACCAGGCTGACCCAGTGACTCCCTCTCTCTTCCTGCTACCTGGGGATCCAGATGGAGAATCTCAGCTACCACTCCAGAAACATGTTTGCCTGCATGCTGCCGTGCTTCCTGGCATGATGATAATGGATTGAACCTCTGAACTGTAAGCCAGCCCCAATTAAATGCCTTCCTCCATAAGAGTTGCCATGGTCATGGTCTCTTTACAGCAATAGAAATCTTAAGATGTAGACAGATTTTTCTTTGGGTTGCCAGCTCACAAATGACACAGAG